CGTTTTGTACCAGGAAGCTCCGTAAATCAGTATTTTGGTCTCCAGTTTGCTTCCTATCTGATTTTAGGCCGAAAGCTAATTTTAACACGGTGTTTGCGTGTGAAGATAAAACCGGACCTTGATTTGGTGTTTTCTACGGCGCTTGTACTAAAGAATAGATTATATATGTATATTTTCAATATTCTTATTCGGTAATGAATATATATATATTATAATTCGTAATCCAACGGCTACCGAAAAGCTACTTTAAAGTAGCTTTTAAGCTACTTTAAAGTAGCTTAAAAGTAGCTTTAAAGCTACTTAAAAGTAGCTTAAAAGTAGCTTTAAAGCTACTTAAAAGCTACTTTTAAGCTACTTAAAAGTAGCTTTAAAGCGACTACTAAGTAGCTTTAAAGCTACTTTTGAGCTACTTAAAGGTCGCTTAAAAGCTAATTGTACGATACAACTCCCCCGCAGGTCGGCCTATATATMATCAGGCACKTGACTCAGTAGCTGGGCCRTAGGTCCAGTAGCTTAAAGTATCCAGTTATGAGTAGGCACGTGACTCAGTAGCTGCGCCGTACGTCCAGTAGCTCAAAGTATCTGGTTATGAGTCGTTTCCCAACGTCCCAACCATGAAGGCAATACAGACATTTCGTATGAATGGAATAAAAGAAGTGATCTTTGTTCAGCTTTATTTTCTATTTTCTGTACTACCAGCAATCCTATTATTACCTTGTGAAAAATGGGAAGATGCCACCATTTGCAGCCAGCAGAACTACTACTACTACTAGTAGTACTAATGTCATAATACTATTATTATTATTATTAGTAGTAGTAGTACTACTACTATTAATAATAATACTAGTAGTAGTACTAGTACTAGTAGCCAGGAGCAGTACTTCTTCTAGCACTAGTAGTAGCAGTAGCAGTAGCAGTAGCAGTAGCAGTAGCAGTAGTAGTAGTAGTAGCAGTAGCAGTAGCAGTAGCAGTAGCAGTAGCAGTAGCAGTAGCAGTAGCAGTAGCAGTAGCAGTAGCAGTAGCAGTAGCAGTAGCAGTAGTAGTTATGGAAATCAGAAAGCCATTGGTGCTCAAGAATATCTCCTCTCTTCTTGTCCTCCATGGTGTTTGTTGCTGCTGTGGTGTTATCTTGTTTATGATGGTGATTTACTGTTGTTGTTGTTGTTGATTAGTACATCTMAAGGGTATCAAATATTGGCTTCCTTTCCCCTCTGTGAACATACTATGCAGATCATGCCAATGACAGTAGTAGCTACCCACTCCTAGTGCTCCTACTGCTACTACTAGTATTAGCACATCTCATTGAATTTTGACATGGACACTGCCCCAGTCTACTAGTAGTAATAATACTAGTACTAGTACTACAAGTAGGCTAAACTACATGTACTTTTTATCATCATGTTGTGACCTCTTCTTGCTGTTTCTGTCAATTTACACTACTATTAGTAGAGGAGTGCTGTTGCCAGAGACAAGAATCAAATGATTCTCCTCAAGCATGATCTTCTTTTTTTCCTGTTGCTTCAACATGTTTCATTAGGTAGAATTCCAACAAGAATGTTGCTCTTGTTGTAGTACTAGTACCTGATGTCTGCCAGTAGGCCATTTACCATTGGAGGCAACAAGAACATAACTTATGGCAAAAAGGTACAAATACAATCAATCATGATTCACTCTTGTTGCTTGCTGTGTCTTTCTCCTTCCCCACCACACCTAGACTTGTGGTGGCCCTTAATAACAACTAGTACTAGTACTACTGTGACCTCATTTATGGTGCATGTCTCATCATTGACCTTATTAAAAAGGTCTTATGGTCACACTAGTAATACTAGTAATAATACATGGTGAATTTGACTATACTACTACTAGTATGTTTCTGAATAGTACTAATTCCTTCCACTTGTTGTAATAATAACTGCCTAGTTCTTTCTTGGATATTAATAATAGTAGGTTTTTGCAATCTTCTGACTACTTCTAATATGTAAACCAGCATTGTCATTTAAATTCTTCTTACACCAATTTACAATTTATGGCAAGAAATGTCAAGAGCTTTACTACTAGGAGGCAATTAGTAGTAGTAGTAGTAGTAGTAGTAGTAGTAGTAGCACATTATAGTACTAGTATGCTATCAAACTACTAGTAGTATTTAAGCCCAAGCAAAAGCCCACAATGATTTTTAATACTTCTTGTGCTGTGGTACTCATACATACTACTAGTAGGTTCAAACTATCAGTAGTATCATGCAGTATAATCCTAAATTGTGGAAGGGGAACAACAAGCACTAAAAAAAGCATTTCTGTGCATTCACTCATCTGTACTCCTTCTTCTTGTACTAGTACTACTAGTACTAGTCAACACAGAATCAGATATCCAGCAGTGTTGTTTGCACCCCATCATTGTTCACAGCAGACCAACAATTTTAAAATAGTCACTCTACTTGTACATTTTCAAAATCTAGCAACAAGTCCCCCCTACTGCTGGTGGAATGAATCTACTTGTACATTTTCAAAATCTAGCAACAAGTCCCNTCTACTTGTACATTTTCAAAATCTAGCAACAAGTCCCCCCTACTGCTGGTGGAATGAATCTACTTGTACATTTTCAAAATCTAGCAACAAGTCCCCCCTACTGGTGGAATGAAAAGATTTCTTCAGTCCTTCAGCAATATCCTGCATCCTTGGTACTATAGTGGTAGGAACACAAAAGCTCCTTAACCTGTTGAGGAGAAAGAAGACTCCAACTGGAGATTGGTGCTGATAATAAACTAGCACTAGCTAGTAGCGTAAGAAGAGAACACAAGAATAAGGAAATAAATGAATCAATGTAGTCAAAAGAAGTGCACAGGACTTTTATTCAAGCTTTGAAGTATCAGTGGTGATAATAATTCATAAATTCACTTAGTACCAGCAGTAACTCTCTAAGAATATATCAAAACTAAACAAGCTGTAACTGAATGACAAACCACCAAATTTGCCACACAACAATAGGATTTCTCTTGCCTCAATAGCACAACCAAGTCTTGGCTACACCCTACAATTGATGAGTTCACACATTTAAGATGGTTGAAAGCACTGGAAGAGAACCTATGTTGTGATCCAAATATCATGAAGAAACCATTTGCAAGGTCCAGTCTCAAATGCTTCTCTCTAGTAGGCTGGGCTGATGGTCTTCTTGTGACAACAGGAGTAAGGATCTAATTGTGTCCCACACTGCTAGTAAACTAGTAGTTGTTGTACAAGCTGAGCATCAAGTGAAGCATGATTCTCCTCCTATTTCCAATATTCTAAAAAAAAGTCTATAAAGTTTGCCTAGCTTCCACTAGACTGCAGTCCATTGGGAAGTGATTCCTATTGTTCTAAATATGCAAAGTGACTACTTTTGCTAATAATCAATACGTGGAATAACGGGAAGCAACCATGAAGATAGGTTAGATACCATATTCGTCCTTTGGAAAATGGTTTCTTCTATTTTTCTTAGTATGTGAAATTTCTAATTTTTCTTCAGAAAATTTGTGACAAGGAGCATCCAATAGAATTCTTTAAAATTGCAATAGTAGAAGTACATAAATCAATAGCACGAAAAGAATATGATTGTGTAATCTGTTTATAGGTTGTTTTGCCGATTCCATAAATTACTAGAAGTAGTGTACGTAAAAGCGTTGTCGGAAGAATTACTCACAGCTACTAGTAGTATCCTCATGTGTGTAATATTGCGGTCGCTGCATCTCTGCGTCTACAAATTCACTTACACTCCTTGGCCTTCAATTGCTATGCTCTATTCTCTTTCTTTCTGCTCACTCCTCTATCGCGTAATTCCAGGTTTGCCCCCCGCTTGCCTTTTCCAGAGATACGCAGAGCTCTCGTCCAGTGGGCTTCGCGCCGGGTTCGTCCTGGAGGGTAAACGTCGACCCGTCGACATCGATCTGGTCCCATGTGACTCCATCGCACAGGAGCAATTCATTGGTTTCGCAGCCATCAACCCCGGAAAGGGAAACCCGTAGGGATTTACACCCGAACTGTGCGGTCACGTTCTTAGCCCTCGTCTCCTTTGGTACCACAAACTTCAGCTCGACCTCGTCGTCCGTCTGGGACCATGTGTACTTTGCTTGGTTTTCGTTGGCAGGATCCGCGGCAATCGCCGGCGTGCCACTGGAAGCAGCGACAGCCGCACTTGGGCACATCTGTTGCTGCTGATTCTGGAAATTCTGGAGCGTCTTACTGAGGCTTGATGCGGAACCTCCCTGGCCGCCACCGCCCCCCTTTCGCCGAGCGATCTTGCACCATTGCTGCTTGTAGAGATCTCCCTCAACCTCCGCGGGTGTGAGATCGACCCGTTCCCATATGTCCTTTCCTTCATCGTCGATGGCCCGGCCGACAAATACGTCACCGTAGATTCCGTTCGGCTTTCCATCGCTGTCACCGGAAGTGCTGTTTGGGGGAAACGCGTGTCCACAGGCCAACATCAGCTTGGTCGCCCGCGGATTGTAGGGGTGATTCTTGGTACGGGCCTGGTCGTCTCCGTACATTGAGACCGCTGTTTGACCGTTGAGCGGCGTGGGGATTGTGAGGCACGTGATTTCACAGTTGGAAGCCTGTTCCTGCATCTTGAGCAGGTTCACGATCTCGTCGTCCCCCATGGCCTGGACGCGTTTGGAGGATTCGTCGGCCCCGGTGTACTGCTTCCGGATCCGATCGGCGATTTGCTTCTTCTCCGGGGCAGATGCTTTTTCGAGGAGCTCCGCCCGTTTGGAACCACCACTCTTCTCGAAGAAATAGGCCTTGGCATTCTTGCTGAGGGCGTCGTTGGTCAACCCGCCCGCCTTGGATGCCTCCTGTCGGGCGATAGGTTCCGATTCGATCGCAGGGATCAAGACGTGTTGGAAAGACATTGTGACGGTTGCGTTAAGTTGAGGACCAGTTGTTTGATGCCGTGCCGTATTCAATAATAACGCGAGTAGTTCATGCTGAATTTCACTACCTCCAACAGATGCGTGTTTTTCGATTGTTTTTCTGTGTCAAACTGAATGCAAAACAGAGGCTGTTGAGGATGATGGATAATTTTTTAGTACAGTACGGTAGAATCCATTCTAGGACCGAAATATGATTTTGAATTTTGATTGAATGGTCGCTTCTGAAGCATCTGAGTCGATCGAGTCAAGTAATTGGACACAGAACAAATTTAGAATTTTATTTCACATTATGGATACAAATGCGAGCACAACGACTAAACAGATACCAGGGCCCTCCAGTACCAATTAATTGGTAATAAAATTACACCAGTAGCCGGTCTCCAGCACTGGCCAAATTTGGCCATACCAGCTGTTAATGGAGAACCAGCTCCCCCCTGGTTCCTAATCGTGTAACAATGACACACAGCACTCTTCTTACTAGTAACAATATGACCGAGCATATCCCCAAAGGGGATCTCATTAGAGGCCTTTCTGGAGGTTTTGTGTTTAGCTTATTTTACCTTAGTATTGGGCTGTTTGTGGTGGGAAAAGTGACCAAAAACTCCTAGACCTGTGTAGCAGCCAGTAGGAACCTGTACAAAATACTGGGGCTTCAAAATTAACCGTGATTTTACTGGTAATATTTTTTTTGCCTGGAGTAAAGTTACTTTTCTCCAAGTAGGATTCAGTAGGTTTTTTACGGTTAATGCATTTTATTACCAATTAACTGGTACCCACGCCCGCACCCCCCTTTTCGAATTCCTCCGGTAGAAAAATGTGGGTTATTTTTGGTGAAAAATAACCCATGTTTTAAAAACCGTTATTAAATGAAAAAAAGAACCCAGGAACCCAAGAACCCATGAACAACCCACAAATAACCCACAAATAACCCACAAATTTACAGTCATTTGGGTTGATGGAGAACCAAGGATGTTAAGTATTTCAATCATTAGTAGTAACGTTATTTAATCACTGTTTTTAATTTTTGAAAATAGGCCCAGCAGGTTCATGGGTTATTCGTGGGTTATTTCGTGGGTTATTTCGTGGGTTATTTCGTGGGTTATTTCGTGGGTTATTTCATGGGTTATTTCATGGGTTATTCGTAAGTTAACCCAGGAACCCACATTTTAAAATGTAGGTCATTTCATGGGAAAAATAACCCACAAAATTATTCCCCGGATGTTCTATTTCAAAGGGGGGACGCTCCGGAGGGCCCGGGACGTTTTGTTTGACAATGGGTCATTCCCAATAATATTGATCTGTGTAAATTCTGGCACGCCCAGCTCGGATTATGACCCAAAATACATAAAAGTTGGTTGTCGTGGCATATTTTTTAATTGGAATCCTTGACTGAACAGATTCAGTCTTGTGAGCTGGTGCACCCTAAAGACAGGAGTCACTTGGCGCCAAATTGGTTGGTGACAACTGGAATCTCAAAAGGACAAAAGCATCTCTTTATTGCTTCTCCTCAACAAGAACAGAACACAAAGGCAAAGATAACTGAACTGCACATCACCAAACGAGGAGTGTGCTTAGTACCATGCTGATGGCTGGCACGTGGAGTCCTCTAGTTAATTGCAACACAAGTATCCAGATTCTTCTGTTGTGGAGGATGAAAGAGCTTGCTAAGAGAGGGAAGGAGCACCAGCACTCTCACCTTGAGAGGGAAGACAGGAGGGAGGACAGAGAGGAAGACCACAAGTTCCTGTATGTGATTAGCATACCAATACCCCCTCATAAAAAGAACAGAAGGATCATGGCTCCAGCTCCAGCAACAGCTGCAAGGTTGACAACTGCAAGGTTGACAACTGCAAGGTTGACAACTGCAAGGTTGACAACTGCAAGGTTGACAACTGCAAGGTTGACAGCTGCAACAGCAACAGCAACAGCTGCAACAGCAACAGCAACAGCAACAGCTGCAACAGCAACAGCAACAGCAACAGCAGCTGCAACAGCAGCTGCAAC